TTCTCGTTTTCAAGATCTCTTTCTTTCAGCATTTTGTAATATTTAGCAATGTGTCCTTTCTCCTTGTCTATGAGAATAATATCTATTTCCATTTCCCCATTTGTAATTCCTAAATTCTTCTTATTGCCTGTTAAAATTAACAAAATATACAAAACAGAGAGAAATAATTGTGGGAGATGTGGGAAACAAGGAGGTACCTTTTATCATATATGGTGGGAATGCAAGGAAAACCAAAAATATTGGAAGAGGATACAGAAATTAATATCTGATATATTAAAATTTGCTATACCATTTGATCTGACATTTTTTCTATTAAACATGACAAGCATAATAGAGAAAGGTCTTGAGAGAAAACACAGGTGTACATACTATATATGATTACTGTGGCTAGAGTTCTTTATGCTAAAAGTTGGAAACAAACTAGAATAACATCTAACAGGGAATGGAGAGAAAAAATGTGGGAAAAAATGTGGGAAGCTTTACAGCCTCGATGAATGAGAAAGTAGAAGAAGAGGTGGAAAAGGAATGGATTTGTTTTAAGATATATTGGAAGAAGGAAAGAAGACGAAGAGAATAATGGTATTTAGTAAATGCTTATTTTCTGAATTAAGACAAAAATGAATGTAAAAGTTATGAAGATGAAATAGGGAAGTTATGGAATGAGACATGGGTTTAATGAAATCTATTTTGATAAGGTAAATATTCATTTTCTAAGGAAGTCAGTTTAGCATTCTTGAGAAGTTTACAATAGAATTGGTGTGTTTAATGTTGATGGATTAGCATGTTTGTTTTTGTTTTTGTATGTAAGGTCTATTGTTGTATGTAATGTATATCTGTTTTTAATGAATAAAATATTTAAGAAAACACTGTAATCCCTGCTAATTTAAAAGTCCTGTGGATGAATCCTGAAAGCCCTAGCTCCACCATGCCAGTGTTCCTGCCTGCATTGTTCACAAGCAAGTAGAATGAAGACAGAAGAAACAATTGCAATGAAGATCATCTTCTTTGCTTCTGTGTAGGTTGGGCTCATATCTGGATTTGATGGCTGTGATTGCTGTTTTCAGATGGATACTACTGCTTTGGATTGTCTTTCCTCCATTTTATTTTCTTTCAGAGAAAGAAGGTTTCTCAATGAGAACAGTAAACTTCCCTTAGTTTTTCAAAAATCTAGCTTCCATGCAGAGTTTGCTTGTGGAAAGAGAAAGGGGGAGGATATGAAATTTCCTCACAAAGGTGTATTTAATAAACAGCAGTGACTAGATAATGATGCATCTGTTGCATTTGCTTGAGCTCCCGACAGCAAAATCATGACCTGCTCCCTGCAGGTATCAAAGAAGCTAATTACCAATCATGCACCCAGGATCAGCATTCATTTGAGGCACTGACACTACATTATTCAGTCCTAGATAGTCTCTCCCTTTCAGATCTCTGTGCTTTCTTCTCTCCATAGGAATTCATCATGCATCAGCAGCAACCAAATTAGCGTGTGCCTTTAGCTGTCAGGTTCTGTGGTGCAAAATGTCAGTTTTCACTTTTCACTATCAAGCCACACCCAACACACAATCAAATCTGAGGAGTCTGTTACAAAAGAAACCCACAACAATCACTTGTTACCCAATATGCTGGGGTCCCAGGAGGGCACCCACAATTGACTTCAGTAGGGAAATTAATTTAGCTAACTAGGACACAGTGGGAGGGCTTTGGGAAACTCTTAAAAGCCAAGATTTAGCCTGTGTATAATGGTTCCAAACCCAAGAACTCCAGAGGCAGGTTCCAAATTAGTTCTGTTTATTTAAAACAGCATAGGGAAATCAACTTTCACTCAAAGACACTCACTCAGACACACATACAAGAACTAACAATATAAAGGTAGTAACAGATCATGATTTCAGAAGGCTTTAGCATATAATAATAATATAATAATAATTTTTTATTTATAACCCGCCCCTCTGTGTGGCAATCGGAGCGGGGTACAGCAAGTTTCAAAAACAGAACAAAGTTAAAAATCATTCCCTCATCCCATAATCCCACCCTCCCATCCCCTTAAAATAGAATTAAACTACGGGACTTCTGGTTGGTTATGGCTCCCCGCTAGGACGTGTGTTGGATGATCTCTCCAACCCGTCCTCTTCTGTGGAGAATTTGGACCCTTGCGAGAGCAGATTGGGTCCTAGTTTTTGCACCCCTGGAGGGGGAGTTCGGAGGGGGCTCGAAGGAGGTTCTCACAGGTTTGGAGTCGGCGCTTCGGCAAGAATTTCTATGCTGCGACTGCCAGCCCTGAGCCAAGAGGACTCGAGAGCAATCCACGGCTC